AAGAAAATCCAGCTCTTCTTTGGATGTCCGCTCCATCCCGAGTCCCGGATCCCAAGGAAAGCTTGGAGCACCTCAAGATCTTGGGATTGGATCAAGATGGGATCGAACCTCCCCAAATCCCACCCAAACCGTTCCAAAAAAGGTTTCCCAAAGAAAATCCAGCTCTTCTTTGGATGTCCGCTCCATCCCGAGTCCTGGATCGCAAGGAAAGCTTGGAGCACCTCAAGGTCTTGGGATTGGAGTGGGATGGGATCGAATCTGCACAAATCCCACCCAAACCACTCTGGAACTTTGGGATTCCATGGGAATGAGAAGCAAAATCCAGGAGAATTCCCAAAAAGTCTTCGGGAATGCCCAAGGAAAGCTTGGAGAACCTCAAGATCTTGGGACTGGAGCGGGATGGGATCAAAGATTACAAAGCCCACCCAAACCATTCCAGAACTCTGGGATTCCATGGGAATGGGAAGCAAAATCCAGAGGACTTTCCAGAGAATCTTCAGGAATGTCCAAGGAAAGCTTGGAGAACCTCAAGGTCTTGGGATTGGAGCGGGATGGGCTCGAACCTCCATAAATCCCACCCAAACCTTTCCAAAAAATGTTTCCCAAAGAAAATCCAGCTTTTCTTGGGATGTCCAGTCAATCCCGAGTCCCGGATCCCAAGGAAATCTTGGAGCACCTCAAGACCTTGGGCTTGGAGCGGGATGGGATCGAACATCCCCAAATCCCACCCAAAACCATTCCAGAACTCCAGGATTCCACGGGAAGCCAAATCCCAGAGAATTCCCACAAAACCCGGCTTCTCCCCCACCCACCTGTCCCGGCGCCTCCATCTTGACCTCGTCGGCAGCGGGAATTTTAGGAACGGCGGCCGGCGCGGCCGGGCACGGCTCGGCGGCCTCGCCCTTCTCCACCTTGACCTTGACGTCGTCCAGGCTGAGCGCCGGCGCCGCCGCCGGCTCCTTCTCGTCCTTATCCAGCAGGTACCGGAGCAGCTGGTGATCCTTGGACTCCTTCTTCTTCTCCGCCTCCGCCATCCCGGAATTCCCGCCGGAATTGCCGCCGCCGGAATTCTCCTTCTTGTCCTGCTCGGCGGCCAGGGCGGGGATGTCGGAGGGGCTGCCCTCCTGCAGCAGCCGGTGCAGGATTTTGTGGCGCTCCGTCAGCGAGCTGTGCGAGGACGGGCACGCCGGCGCCGGGCCGGGATTCCCGGGAATGCCGGCGCACGCCAGGGAATCCTTGGAGCTGGTGTCGGCATCGGCGTGGTGCCGCAGCTGCTGCTCGGCCGTGCTGGCCAGCAGCTGCACCAGCCGGTGGCTCGTGCCTTGGGGACACTTCCCGCCGTCCCCTCCCTCGGATCCGTGCGGCATTCCCGGCTCCGGCGTTTTCTCGGAGCCGCCGCCGCCGCCGCCGTCCCCTTGGATCATCTCGCCCAGGATGGAGGAGATTTCCTTGGCGTCCTTGGCGTCGGATTTGCCGCCCACGCGGCCGGGAGAGTTTTGGGAGCTTGGCTGCCTCAAAAATCCCGGGTTTGCCGGAGGCTCCGGAAGCGCCGAGTTGACGGGAGCGTTGGGAAAAGGCCGGGAATTCCCGGAGGAGGAGGAAGAGGAGGAGGAGGAGGAAGAGGAAGCCGGGGAGTGCATGGATGGCGAGAAGGGATTGCCGGGAGGAGCTCGGGATCTGGGAATCAAGCCCGGGCTCCCGCGGTGCCGCGGCGACAGGAATTGCGGCGCCGGAATTCCGGGGCTGTTCATGGGGGAGCTGCCGTGGGACAAAGGGTGGGAATTCCCGGGAGTTTGGCTTAAGGCAACGTTGGATCCCAGAGGATTCCCGAAATTGGCTTGGCCCGAGGTGGAATTCCCGGGGTGAGCGGAGGGCGCGGCCATGACGGCGCCGTTGGATGGAGGGAGGGAAGGCGGCAGCGCCATTCCCGGCGCCGGAGGAACGTTGGGATTCACCCTGGGAAGGGCCAGGCCCGGGCCGGGGGCGTCCTGGGGGGAGAGAATTCCGTGATCCCTGTGGGGAAAAAAAAAAAAACATGGGAAAATCTGTTTTTTCCTGGTTTTTGGTGTTCCTCCAAGCAGTTCCAGCAGCAGGAATCCCAAAAATTCCCTGCTTGGAATTCCGGCTGCTCCAAAGCTTTCTTTGGGTTGGGAATTACCAAATCCTGCTCCAATGGCAGAAAGGATCCCAAAATGGAGCCGTCGCTCAGCGTGAGGGCCTGAAGGCCGTGCCAGGGTCATCACTGAGGGGAAAAAACTCAGAATTCCAAAAAAATCCTGGGAAAATCCCATGAAAATCCTGAAAAACTCCCAATCCAGTCAAACAACACCCAATCCAATGGAAATCTGATCCCAAAAACCCCAAAAGGGCACAGAGGATGGGCACGGAGCCGTCACTCAGTGTGAAAGGAAAGCTGAGGGTGGTGCCGGGGTCATCACTGAGGGGAAACACACAGAATTCCAAGGAAAAACAAGGAAAAACCCCATCAAAATCCCTCAACGATCCCAAAACCCCACCACCACCCACAAAAAAACATCTTACCATCACCACCTCCCGAAAAAAACCAAACCCCACACACCGACCCCGCCAAAACAACGCCGCCATTTTCTCCTCCTCTTCCCAACCCGCGGCGGGAACGAAAAAACCCGGAATGCGGGGATTTTTTGGGATTTTTCCCAAGGAGAAGATTCCCGGGGGGAACAGGCAGCGGGTACCTTCCTGAAAGAGCTGCTTGGCGTAGGAGGGCTCGCGGCCCTGGGGCTGGAAGAAGGCGTAGATGCATTTCCGCACCAGATCCTCCCAGCCCGTCCGGCCGGCGGCGCGCAGCGAGCTGGTGTCGATGGAGATGATTTTTCCTGGGAAAAGGAGCGGGAGGAAAGGGAATTTGGGGAGATTTGGGGGAGTTGGGAGCCAGGAATGGGTGGAGGAGGTTGGGGTGGTGGGGTGGGAATGGGATGGGGTTGAGGGTCTGTGGAGCTCGTCCCAAACCATTCCGGGATTCTGGGATCCAGGATGGATCAAAATCCATCCCCAGGGATTTTTATGGAATTCGGGGATGGGAAAGGGAAGGGAGACCCCTGAGATTCCAAGGGAATTCCCGAAATTCCTTCCTGGAGAGGAGTCAGGATGGGGATGGATACAATGCCAGGCTGGGAGAGCTGGGAATGGAGAAATTCTCTGGGAAAAGGGGAGGGATTTGGGAAGGAATTCCCAGCTGGGCTGGAATTCCCAGAGAATCCCTGGATCCCTGGGAGTGTCCAAGGAAAGGCTGGAAAATCCCAGAATTGTGGGCTGGGAATGGGATGGGAATGAAGCTCCAGGGATCCCATCCCAAACCATTCCGGGATTCTGGGATCCAGGACACTCAGGATCCATCCCCAGGAAATTTTATGGAATTCAGGGATGGGAAAGGGAAGGGAGATCCCTGAGATTCCAAGGGAATTCCCAAAATTCCTTCCCGGAGAGGAGTCAGGATGGGGATGGATCCAATGGCAGGCTGGGAGAGCTGGGAATGGAGGGAAGTCCCTGAGAAAAGGGGAGGAATTTGGGAAGGAATTCCCAGCTGGGCTGGAATTCCCAAAGAATCCCTGGGAGTGTCCAAGGAAAATCTGGATCTCCCTGGGATTGGGATTGGACCAGGATGGGACCGAAGCTCCACGAATCCCACCCAAACCATTCCGGAATTCCACCATTCCCACCTCTCCTTCCCACAACAACCTCCGGAGCCCCAGAATCCCGGGATTTGGGGCAGAATTCCCGGGAATGGCGTGGGATGTACCTGTGGTGTCCTGCTTGGTGACGAAGGACTCGGTGGGGGCCGGGGCGGCCGGGCGCGGCAACCTCCGGGCGATGCAGATCAGACACGACTGGAAATCTGGGAAAAACACCGGGAAAAACACCGGGAATGCCGGAACCGTCCCGGGTTTGAGCTCAAACCTTGCTCCTGGATTTTGTTCCCGGCCCTGGAAGTGTTTTCCTGGAGGGATTCTCTATCCCTGCCGTGGAAATGGGGTTGAATTCCCTGGAATTCCCAGGGAAAAGCTTGGGGGGATTGACTGGGGAGGGTTCTGGGATGTGGCGGAGTTGGGATAATGGAATTCCAGGGGTTGTTGGGATTTGGTCCTCAAACAGCGGGATTTGGCCCTTCCGGGTGGGAAATCCTGTGGGAATTGTGGGATTCATCCCAGGAATGTGGTGGGACAGGGAAAAGGGACCTGGAGTGGGAGAGCGACGAAGGATCCGGCCCTGTCCCTGTCCCCAGTCCCAACCCTGAGCCTGCATTCCCAGCCCTTCCCATCCCAATCCCAATCCCAATCCCAATCCTGCATTCCCATCCCAATCCTGCATTCCCACCCCACCCCATATCCCACACCAATCCCATCCCATCCTATCCCAGTCCCACCCCAAACCCAGTCCCATCCCAATCCCAATCCCACCCCAATCTCAACCACACTGCAAAATCCAATCCCAATCCCTTCCCAACCCCAACCCCAACCCCAACCCAATCCCATCCTAATCCCAAATCCCAGATCCCAGATCCCCGGGAATGTTTCCCCACCTTCTCCCTCCTCCTGGAAGGCGCGGGGCTGGCTGACGGTGAAGCACTGCATGGCCTCCGAGCCCCCAAACCCAACCCCAATCCCAAACCCCAATCCCAATCCCATCCCAATCCCAATCCCAAATCCCAAATCCCAGATTCCCGGGAATGTTCCCCACCTTCTCCCTCCTCCTGGAAGGCGCGGGGCTGGCTGACGGTGAAGCACTGCATGGCCTCCGAGCCCCCAAACCCAACCCCAATCCCAAACCCCAATCCCAATCCCATCCCAATCCCAATCCCAAATCCCAAATCCCAAATCCCAGATTCCCGGGAATGTTCCCCACCTTCTCCCTCCTCCTGGAAGGCGCGGGGCTGGCTGACAGTGAAGCACTGCATGGCCTCCGAGCCCCCAAACCCCAATCCCAATCCCATCCCAACCCCAACCCCACCCCAATCCCAATCCCCAATCCCAATCCCCAATCCCAAATCCCAAATCCCCGGGGATGTTCCCCACCTTCTCCCTCCTCCTGGAAGGCGCGGGGCTGGCTGACGGTGAAGCACTGCATGGCCTCGTAGCGCTGCCGCAGCTCCGCCTGCTCCGCGCCCGCCTCGTCCGGCGGCCGCACCAGCATGCGGCACTGGAAGGTGTGGCTGCCGCGCCGCGCCGGCTCCTGCGGCCACGGCACCCCGTTCACTGGGAAAAACAGGGAAAAACGGGAATTAGGGACCTGGGAGTGATCCCTAATCATGGAATTCCCAAAGATCCCCGGGATCCGTGGCCCTGCACCAGCATGCGGCACTGGAAGGTGTGGCTGCCGCGCCGCGCCGGCTCCTGCGGCCACGGGAAAAACAGGGAAAAACAGGGAAAAACGGGAATTAGGGACGTGGGAGTGATCCCTAATCATGGAATTCCCAAAGATCTCTGGGATTCGAGGAACTGTAGTGGGAACAATCCACATGGAATTGCCGAAGATAATAAGCACACAATAAAAATAAAAATTAAAGAATAATAAAATAAATAAACATAAAAATAATTAAATATAAATAAAAATTTAAAAATATAAATTAAACAAAAAATAAAAGTAAATAAAATATACACAGAGATAAAAGTAAAGATATAAATAAATATAAAATAAAATTTCAATACATTTTAAACATTAACGACCCCCCCACCCCCAATCCCTGCGTCCATTCCCAAATTTCCCCGGATTTTCCCAAATTCCCCCGAATTTCCCGCGATTCTCCCGGATTTCGCGGGGCGTGCCGTACCCAGGGATTTGGGGAGCAGGTTCTTGACGAACTCGGCGTGGTCGCCCACGTGCAGGATGCTGTAGACGCTGGAGTTCATCAGCTCCTCCTGCCCGTAGCCCAGGTAGCCCGTCACGTTCTCCGACACGAACACGATGCGCCCCTCGCGGTTCACCACGAAGAAGAACCCGTCCAGAGCCTGGGAACGGGAAAAATTCCAAGGTTTTATCCCAAATATCCCAAAAACGGGAAAAAATTCCAAGGTTTTACCCTAAATATCCCAAAAACGGGAAAAAAATCCAAGGTTTTACCCTAAATATCCCAAAAACGGGAGAAATTCCAAGGTTTTACCCTAAATATACCAAAAACGGGAAAAAATTCCAAGGTTTTATCCTAAATATCACAAAAACGGGAAAAAATTCCAAGGTTTTATCCCAAATATCCCATCACGTTCTCCGACACGAACGCGATCCAACCCTTCTGGTTGAACATGAAGAAAAATCCATCCAGGGCTTGGAACACAAAAGAACTCCAAGGTTTTATCCTGAATATCCCAGAAATGGGAAAGAATTCCAAGGTTTTATCCCAAAATCCTGTCACACTCTCCGACACGAACGCGATCCAACCCTCCCGGTTGAGCGTGAAGGAGAACCCTTCCAGAGCCTGGAACAGGAATGGAATTCCAGAGAGGGATCACGGAATGAGAGGAGAATGAAATTCCAGAGGGTGTTCCTGGAGCGGGGAGGAGATTCCATGGAAAACTGGGTGGGGTCTTGAGTGGGGAGAAGGTTCCCTCAAAGCTTTGCTGGATTCCGGCTCTGGGAATTCCAGGATTCCAGCCACGATCCGAGATCCACCTTGGTCATTCCTGGATTTGGGTCCTCAGATCCCAGGATTCCAGCCAGGATCCAAGATCTACCCTTGTCATTCCAATGGATTCCCATGGATTTGGCTCCTTGAGTTGGAGAAGGTTCCCTCAAAGCTTGGTTGGATTCCCACTCTCAGAATTCCAAGATTCCAGCCACGATCCAAGATCCACCTCCGTTATTCCTGGATTTGGGTCCTCAAGCGTGGAAACGATTCCATGAAAAACTGGGTGGAGTCTTGAGTGTGGAGAAGGTTCTGGCAAAGCTTGGCTGGATTCCCACTCTGGGAATTCCAGGATTCCAGAAGGGATCCAAGATCCACCATGGTCATTCCAAAGGATTCCCATGGATTTGGCTCCTTGAGTGAGGAGAAGGTTCCCTCAAAGCTTGGTTGGATTCCCACTCTCGGAATTCCAAGATTCCAGCCACGATCCAAGATCCACCTTGGTCATTCCTGGATTTGGGTCCTTGAGTGTGGAGAAGATTCCATGAAAAACTGGGAGAGGTCTTGAGTGTGGAGAAGGTTCCGGCAAAGCTTGGTTGGATTCCCACTCTGGGAATTCCAGAGCTCCAGCCAGGATCCAAGATCCACCTTGGTCATTCCGATGGATTCCCATGGATTTGGCTCCTTGAGTTGGAGAAGGTTCCAGCAAAGCTCGTCTGGAGTCCCACTCTGGGAATTCCAGGATTCCAGCCAAGACCCAAGATGCACCTCGGTTTTTCCAAGATTTGGGTCCTTGAGTGTGGAGAAGATTCCATGAAAAACTGGGTGGAGTCTTGAGTGTGGAGAGGGTTCCGGCAAAGCTTGGCTGGATTCCCGGTTTGGGAATTGCAGGATTCCAGCCGAGATCCAAGATCCTCCTTGGTCATTCCAATCGACTCCCACGGATTTGGGTCCTTGAGTGTGGAGAAGGTTCAAGCAAAGCTTGGCTGGATTCCCACTCTGGGAATTCCAGGATTCCAGCTGAGATCAAAGATCCACCTTGGTTATTCCTGGAATTCCACAATTCCAGCCGGGATCCAAGGTCCACCTTGGTTATTCCAATGGATTCCCACGGATTTGGCTCCTTGAGTGTGGAGAAGATTCCATGGAAGTCTGGTTAGATTCCTGCTCTGGGAATTCCAGGATTCATCAGGGTTCCAAGATGATCCTTAATTATTTATGGATTTGGGTCCTCAGATCGCAGGATTGCACCTGGGATCAAGAAGCCACGTTGGTTATTCCTGGAATCCCAGGATTCCAGCCAGGAGTCACAGATCCACGTTGAGTTTCTCCTGGATTTGTGTCCCAGAATCCCAAGATTCCAGCCAGGATCCAAGATCCACCGCGGTCATTCCAAAGGATTGCCATGGATTTGGCTCCTTGAGTGTGGAGAAGGTTCCGGCAAAGCTCGTCTGGATTCCCACTCTGGGAATTCCAGGATTCCAGCCAAGACCCAAGATGCACCTCAGTTTTTCCAGGATTTGGCTCCTTGAGTGTGGAGAAGGTTCCCTCAAAGCTTGGCTGGATTCCCACTCTCGGAATTCCAAGATTCCAGCCACGATCCAAGATCCACCTTCGTCATTCCTGGATTTGACTCCTTGAGTGTGGGGAAGATCCCATGGAAAACTGGGTGGAGTCTTGAGTGTGGAGACGGTTCTGGCAAAGCTTGGCTGGATTCCCACTCTGGGAATTCCAGGATTCCAGCTGAGATCAAAGATCCACCTTGGTTATTCCTGGAATTCCACAATTCCAGCCGGGATCCAAGGTCCACCTTGGTTATTCCAATGGATTCCCATGGATTTGGCTCCTTGAGTGTGGAGAAGATTCCATGGAAGTCTGGTTAGATTCCTGCTCTGGGAATTCCAGGATTCATCAGGGTTCCAAGATGATCCTTAATTATTTATGGATTTGGGTCCTCAGATCGCAGGATTGCACCTGGGATCAAGAAGCCACGTTGGTTATTCCTGGAATCCCAGGATTCCAGCCAGGAGTCACAGATCCACGTTGAGTTTCTCCTGGATTTGTGTCCCAGAATCCCAAGATTCCAGCCAGGATCCAAGATCCACCGCGGTCATTCCAATGGATTGCCATGGATTTGGCTCCTTGAGTTGGAGAAGGTTCCAGCAAAACCTGGCTGGATTCCCACTCTGGGAATTCCAGGATTCCAGCCAAGCCCCAAGATGCACCTCGGTTTTTCCAGGATTTGGGTCCTTGAGTGTGGAGACGATTCCATGAAAAACTGGGAGAGGTCTTGAATGTGGAGAAGGTTCCCTCAAAGCTTGGCTGGATTCCCGTTTTGGGAATTCCAGGATTCCAACCAGGAACCAAGATCCACCTCGGTCATTCCTGGATTTGCTTCCTCAAATCCCAGGATTCCAGCTGGCATCCAAGATCCACCGTGGTCATTCCAACAGATTCCCATGGATTTGGCTCCTTGAGTTGGAGAAGGTTCCCTCAAAGCTTGGCTGAATTCCCACTCTCAGAATTCCAAGATTCCAGCCGGGATCCAAGATCCACCTTGGTCATTCCCGGATTTGGGTCCTCGAGTGTGGAGAAGATTCCGTGAAAAACTGGGAGAGGTCTTGAGTGTGGAGAAGGTCCCGGCAAAGCTTGGTTGGAATTTTGGAATTCCAGGATTCCAGCCAGGATCCAAGATCCACCTTGGTCATTCTGATGGATTCCCATGGATTCGGCTCCTTGAGTGTGGAGAAGGTTCCCTCAAAGCTTGGCTGGATTCCCACTCTGGGAATTCCAGGATTCCAGCCGGGATCCAAGATCCACCTCGGTCATTCCTGGATTTGGTTCCTCAAATCCCAAAATTCCAACTGGGATCCAAGATCCACCTTGGTGATTCCCATGGATTCCCATGGATTTGGCTCCGTGAGCGTGGAGAACGTTCCCTCAAGGCCTGGATGGATTCCTGCTCCGAGAATTCCAGGATTCCAGCTGGGATCATGGATTTGGGCTCTCAAATCCCAAAATTCCAACCGGGACCAAAGACCCACCCTGGATTTTCCTGGAATCCCAGGATTCCAGGTGGGATCCAAGATCCACTTTGATTATTCCTAGTCCTGATCCTGATCCTAATCC